AAGCGAGCACGAAATTTTCCAGATTTTTAAAGGTTTAGTTAGAATTGAAAAAGGAAAGAGTCACTGAATTTACTAGACAGGAGTTCTGAATCTACCTAAGGGATGCTCTTTGTAATCCAGAACAATCCTATTTTATTTCCAATACTGGTATCCATTCATTTTTTTCTTTGTCCTTGGCACCTGTTTTAAAATGCTTGCTCAGTTTGAAGATTAAGTAATGTAAACTAATGTTTCCCAGGAGCTGAAAATAACGGCAGGTGTCAGAACAGAAAGTGTTCTGCATACTACATCTAACTTTTGTTAGTGAATGGTGATGCTTCTGTCCAGTGGAGGAAGTACACAGTAGCAAAGATGAGGAAGAGGACACTGAGAGAGGAATAAGAGACAAAGAATGAGAGGGAGAAGGATTTTCAAAAAGATCATGAGACTAAACCTCCAGAGGCATCCAAAATGGACTCAGTAAATACTAAGGCTCTGAAATGACAGGCTTGTCTTCTCTGTTCCATGTGGTTCCACGCTGATTTGGTAATTCTCTCATGGGTTTTCTGGGATACAGAGACTGTGCTCATAAAAAGGTCACCAACCATGGGCACCCCGGCGTCACAACTCACAGCCAGAATCATGGACCTGTTATTCATTTGAACGGCCCTTGGGGAGGTAGTTCATTACACCTGCCCCTCAAAAGTGTGTCTGGGTACCCTCCCTGGTGGTGCAAGGGGTGAAAGCGCAACACTCTGAATCTGTCTGCAGCCACTGCAGCAAGAGTCTGATCCCCGGCCCTGGAGGTGACCCACGTGGCACAGCAGACCTCTCCTGTTTCGCCCACTGTTCTCCTCAGCAGTGTATTTCAGTCAATCTGCCTATTCTGCTCCCCACTCTGTCTCTGATGATCCTCTCACCTCTGCACCTCTGGCCTGTACCCCAATTCTTGTATGAATAAATAAATCTATCAGTAAAAAGTGTGTCTGGGACACCACTCTACATCACCCAACCAATATATGTTGAATCAATACACATGTACTGTTCAACAAATGTTTACTCAACAAGGAATTATAGCATAAATTTTAGAATGTGGACATTAGAAACATGAGTCTACCAGAAGAGTAAGGGGTAGAGGGGAGCCAAGAGGGGAGGGGCCCAATGCACTGTGGTAGAGGATTGTCGTGGGTGCCTCAGTGTGGGTGTGGTGTGGTAACAACACCTATAGGTGTGAACCTAGACCGCTAAATCACAT